TCTTATTGTGGCCACTTTTCTTCGAAGGCTTCCAGTACTTCATGGCATCCCAATACCAAAATCAGATCCATGAAGAATTCTTCACGCCTGACTTACCCTGAGCCTCTTGGGAAAGCTTGTGATACACCCAAAACAAATAGCGGCAACTCGCAAGCAATCCTCGACTGTTACGATGAGAAAATTCCTCCACGCTAGGAACAACCTCGTCGTGAAACTTACCCTAGATCGGCAAGCCTCCTATCATGTGGAGATCCCAAAGTGAAATCGACATCTCCTCTTGTGATGTGTGAAGTGCATTAGTCATTGAATACCAATGCTAAAAGAACGCACGAAGGACGGAAGGATGATGATCATAACTAAACAAAGATATGTACAAGGTGTGATAAAGGCCCATGTTGGTAAACATATCTTTAGATTGGCTCAAGACATCTTCAAGCCACTCCCAGTAAAACTCAGCAAATAAGGTTTCTACAGTAGTCATCAAGGTGCTATTTCAAGTCATAGCTCTGCTACGGATGCGATTACCAAGAAGCTCAAACAAAGCCGATGGATTGTCACGAACATGGTGTGAAGGATTCAAGATAAGAATCCTCAACGTACACACCTTCTTTTTCGTATTTGGTTGACCAAAATTTGTCACCTCCCAAGATAGTTTAGAAAACCAAGATTTAACATGCATCGAGTTGTCTTTTGCAGGAAAAACAAGCACCATAAGGCCAATCAACGGCGCACAAAGCTTCAACATCGTTCCCCTGTATTGCGAATCGCCTTCCTTCTCAAGAATAGTGATGGTATTGCTCTTAAAGCACTTGAAAAATACCATAGCTGTAACAAAACAAAAAAATACAACATAAGCACAAGGTGGGACAACAAGAAAGGAAAAAAAAAGAAAAAAAAAAAAAGATTGTTTCACTAAAGCAAAAGACATGCGAGGTAGACCTCGTGAGCGTTGAAGGATGACGATGACAAAGTCACAACAACGAAAAGAAATCAGCCACAAAACTTGAGCAGCACAGCAAAGAAGGCAGCTATAAGACGATCCTTCAAAGCACACTACAATAGCAAAGAAAACCAAAATGCTACACAATCACACTACGCAATCTGCAGCGATTACGCAAGCAGTTTCTTGCATCGCACGGCAACGTCACCACTGAGGGAAAAACTGTGACCAAAATGCACTACACAACGAAACCCTGCTGCAGTCTTTTACACAACACCACTCAATAAAAAGTGATGCACTGCAACAAGCACCAAACAACAAAACTCACGGCACCAAGCAACAACAAGCAACAAAGCACGACAGCAAGCACAAAGGTAGTGCACGACAAGGATGTGTTGTGACAAAAACACACACCCAATTGTCCTATAAATAGAGTCAATTGTTTCCTAATGCTATAGGAAAAATACATACCAAATAGCAAAAGGAAAATCAACAAAATGAAGTACATTCCAATCAAAAGAAGGAAGCAAATTCCAAAGAAAAAAAGGGCAATGTTATACACAGCAACAAGGGAAATACATGCTATTTTTGCAACAAAAATCAGCAAAGAAAAGAAGAGGAAACAAAAAAATAAGGAAAAGGTTTCAAAATTTCCAAAACATCAAAGGAAATTGCCCCCCTTGCCGAAATTCAAAGAGGGAATCCCTCCAAAGCAAGGACAAGTCTTCAAGTTTCCCAAACCAAGGGGGAAAATACTCCCTTGGCCGAAAAAAAAAAAAAAAAAAGGGAAAGAAAAAAATGCAAATCCTATTTACCCAAGGACAAGCATTAAATCTTTCCAAAGCTTTGAAGGAAATCACTAAAGCTTTCCAACACTTTGAAGGAGATCACCCTCATTACCAAAATTGAAGGAGGTTCCTACCTAAGGAAGGAAAACAGTTTTTACTACAACCACAAGGAAAAAATTTCAAAATACACCAAATGTATTTTGTCAAAATTATGGAAAAATAAATACACACAATAAGTATGTGCCAATTTATCCATTGCCAAAGTTTCTTTCAAGATCAAGCCTCTATGGCCCTTGAAGAAAATTTGCATTGCATTCAAGATCAAGCCTCTATGGCCCTTGAAGAAAAGTTTCATTCAAGATCAAGCCTCTATGAGCCCTTGAAGAAAAAATTTTAATTTCTTTCAAGATCAAGCCTCTACGGCCCTTGAAGAAAATTTTCGTTTAATTCAAGACCAAGCCTCAACGGCCATTGACGAAATTCATCACTTCAATTCAAGACCAAGCATCGGGCCTTGAAGAAATGTTTCGTTCAAGAAATATGTCTCAACCACCCTTGAAGAAATTCATCATGTCAATTCAAGAAATACACCTCTACCTTGAAGAAGCAAACTAATTTAAGATCAAGTCTCGATGACACTTGAGTTAGAACATTCACATTGCAGGACTTCAAAACAGGTTTCCTACATGTGACAAGCACACGCCTACAACATGCCTTGAAGTGGGGGCATTTGTAAATATGTAAATTTTATTGCATACAAATGATGCATCACAAAGGTCCACGTTGCATATGACCCATCACAAATGGACAAGTCATTAATGATATGTGGCTCAAATCAAGCAAAGGAAGCTCAAAAGCATTCCTAAAATGCAGCAAAACGGAAGAAATCTCTTTAAAATCGGCAAGGGGCCCAAATTGCTCCCAAAACCAGAAAGAAAGCTAAAGCATCTTCACAAAACAAGCAAAAATTGAAGATTGCTCACAAAATAGGCAAGAAAACCCTATAATTCGGCTAAGCAAGGGAACGTGGCTGAAATTAAGACACAAAACATGCCTAAATTCTCCCATGGATGAATCAAGACACAAATCAAAGCCAAATCCATCCAAAGACATGGCTTTGGAAGTCTATAAATACAAGGTCACTAGACACAAATAGGGGTCGACAATTTCTACATTGAAGGGCCGAAATTCTCACAAAAAGGAGAACCTTTGCCAAATCTTTGAAGACTAATACGTTGCCAAAGCTCTCTTCGAATAACGTACAACCTAAGCCGAAGCATTCCCTTGAAGAATCAACAAGCACTTGTGCCGATTCCTTCAAGACTTAGTTGCAAGCTCAAAACTTGTAACGACGTTCGTTTCAAGATCAAGTCGCCAAGACCCTTGAATCAGCAAAATCCTACATCGACATCACCTTTGCTATAGCCCTAAACCTGAGGTGAAGACCATCCATGCTTTGTTTCAAGCTCAAAACTTGAAGCATTCATTCAATTGTTTGTCTGAGATCAAGTCATTGCAACCCTTGGATCAACAACTTACGCATCTACATCAAATTTGAAGATTGAAGCAGAGGAAAATTGTAAACAGATATTGTAACCTACAAATTCAAATCAATACAAATCTACTTTGTACACGTGTTCTCGTTTCTTTCATTACAGAATTTTCGTGTTTACACCATAAATATTAGAACGTAATATCAACGATCCGAACAGTTCATTTTTTTTACATAAAACGCAAACGACAATCAACAATTAAATATTCGGTGAAAAGAATAAAGCCTAAACAACATAAGATAAAATCGCAGAAAATTACAAAAAATCACAAATGAACTACGTAAAGCGTGTCCTCATGTTCGCTACAAGATAAAATTGCATAAAATTGAAAATACATAAGTAATCCAATAATGCTAGTAACCTCATTAGCCAAAACATATATGCATTAAAAGCATAAACCCTCATTATTCGAGCAAATAAGTGTCAGTGATTGGTATTAATAATTCACTTATCCCAACGCTCTAAAAATATACTCGCCATTCGCCAACACATCTGCATCAGGAGTTATTTTGGCTTTGGACTGTCATTCCAGCTTTTTTAGTTTGGGTGTGCATAATTTTAAGATTTGGATGTGTTTCCTTGCTTATTCCCAGATCTATCTCACCCTCAAATCTAACAGTATTATCACTGTGACAGCTAGTTTGACCAAGTTGGCTTTTTTATGCTACGTTGAAGTTTCTTTGGATTTAGGGCTTGTTTTACACGGAGGTTTTGTCGTCGATGTGCAAAATTGCAGAGGCGTGTTTGTGGAAGAGGTTTGTCTACAGATTTTGGGAGAGGGAGAGAGAGATAGGAGGTTTTACTGGCGATATAGGAGAGTGATTGTTGCCGACTGACGTAGGGTAGGCGGTGGGGAGCTTTGATGTGTCTGACGTGATTGGGTGGTTTCTTATAAGCTTTTTTTTTTTTTTTTTTTTTAATATAACTTAACAGAGTGAACTCTTAATTTTCGAGGTTCCTGGTACCATTTGATTGAAATGAGGCAGATGAAATGAAACAAGGTGTAAGGTTCATGCCAATCAAAAGTGACCCCATATAAGCGAACATGAACAATGGTCATTGAATATCCTAAATATTCCAATGACAATGACGTTTCAATACACCTAGCAAACTTGGCCAATATCAAAGAGGACAGTTTAAATAACATCCAAAAGGTCAAAAATATTTAAGATATTCTAGACCTTTAATTAGCGACCGTTGTTCACGTTCATTAGGTGTATTATATCGAGCCACTTTTAATTGATTTGTACCTTACACCTTGTTTCATTTCACCTATCTCATTTCAATCAAACACTACCAGAAAATCCTAAAATTAACACACACAAGCTCGAGAATTTATTCCAAACTATAACACATGAATTCACAAATGTCATTTTTTATAAAAGATTTCAAATGTGGCCAAAATGACACTTAAAAAGACCCAATTACCATTAAAATTAATATCAAATTACAACTACAAGCCAACACCTTTTGAATCTTATGCATCGGCTCATGAGTATAAAAGTTGAAGAATAAATTATTTATATAATTGATGTGGCGCCTTGGACAAACCATTAAATTGATCCAAATGTGATTAAGATTATATGTGCCGAATGCCATGAGTTCGTATTGGCAATTTCCATCCCAACGAATACTGGAATACTATTATTTAGAAAAGATGCATAAGTTATTGTTTTTTGAAATAAAAAATATATCAATTTATTATTACACAAGAATATACAGAAGTTAGTTTTGTGAAATTTTCATCGTAATCTCGGGTATAGGTTTTCGACAATTCATTTATGAATTAGACAATTTGCTTGGATCAATCTCTTTCCTTCCTTTCGGCTTTCTTGGAATGAGAAATGGTTCAAAACCTAAAAATAATAAGAACAATGGTGTTGGTTGTTTAAGCAGTATTAGAAAATATGAAAATAACACAAGAATTCCAATAACAATAATTATAAAGAAAATCACAACATAAAATGTACACAAGATTAATATAAATAACTAGAAAGAGTTAGAAAAACTGACAAACTTGGAGATTGAGGCTTGCATATGATATCCTAACCTGGATTGTCCACCTAGACACCTGAATCGCGATGTGCTGGCCGACACCTGGAAGGTAACGAAGCCATAAAGTGTAGTGATGTGGAAAAAGTGAATCAATTAAAACCTAAAAGTGACTAGTTTAGAGTACGCATGTGAGCGAGATTGAACCTATATCACACAAGTGATGCCTAAGCATAGATAAATTGCAGTAAAAGAAGAGTAAGGACATTTATACCAAAAGAAGAACTCTCCTACATAACAGTTTTTACCAACAATCCTCATCGTCACGAAACCTCTGCCACTAAAATCCTGGATAGGCCAAAAACAAGGGTGAGTGGGCCTAAAAATAGAGCTTTGTAAAACCTTTTCGAAAAGTGTAACCCCTCGCTGTAAAAAAAGTATATGGTTTCCTAAAAATATATAATAATAGTATGTAATAGGTACTTTGCAGCACAAGTGAGCTAAAGGATGTAAGCACAACAACAAGGTATCTCAACATCAAATCTCAATTCGTTATTATAAGAAATCAATGCTCATTATTTATGTAAGCACACAAGTCCATTACAGAGATATTCAAACAATGGAAGAGGCTGGGCGTAGGTTTTACATTCTAATACTACATCACGTGAGGTACGCTAGTCGCATTACAAACGAGCCCAAAACATCACACAAAAGGATAGACTAACACTTAACTCTAGATCCAAAGCAAATGTAAACGGTGCATGTGAACTACATGTGAAGCTGGTCCTTGGCCCAGGATAGTACAAATAACTAAGAGACACCGTGCAAACATGTAATAATGAGCAGATAAAATGCAAGGATGTCATGCCACAAGTTTATGCTCACAAATAATATTAAAAACATAAAGTGTATGAAAAGCCTATTTGTAAAGCTAAACATGTCATGTCACATCATAGTATATAAAGGTAGTTGTTGGGAAAAATCACATATGCATATATATATATATATATATATATATGTAAAAACGAAAAGACCCACTCATAGATACATGTAGGTTGTAACCATCCAACTATTCTGCCAACAGCGCTCCTCCAGGTGGTCCTCTTCTATACGAAAAATTACTAAGGTTAATTACACTAACACCCCTCAAGTTTATCGCGTTTTCACAAAACCCCATCACGTTTGAAACAAAACACTGACACCCATTGAGGTTCTGATTCACCTTCACATAACCCCTTCAAAGCTGACATCACCTTAAAATAATTTCTTAAAGACAAATTTACCACGCTATTAATTACTTTAAAGAAATAAAAAAAGGTTTTTTAGAAATACATATAATAATAACCAATAAAAGGAAATACTTTTTTTTTGTTCGACTTCAAAAACATACATTAACCATAAAAAAATAAAAAAATAAAATAAAATAAAATAATACTAAAAATAGAAAGCCACTTATGCAGCTTCGGATCTTTCTCTCAATTTTTTTTTTTTTGTTCTTGTCCTCAAATCGCCACCTCCCATCTCTTCGTCAACCTCCTTCACTCCTTGTTCACCCAAACCGAAACGAATTTTGACGAGAAAACAATATGGAAGAAAGCCCTGATTTCAAACATGGAGAAGAGTACCTGATTTGGCTTCTTGGAAGAAATTACCTGACCACATTCCTACTCTGAAATGCCCAAAGGATTTAACAGGAGAAAGATTTGTTCTACTAGGGTTTTTCCAATTAAGAAAAGAGGATTGGGATATGAATTAACAGCATAGAGGAAGAAGGTAACAAGATTTCTTCAATTTTCTTTTATTTACTTTTATTGTTTAATGTAAGATTTTAATTTGAATTTTTATTCTATTTATTTATAAAGGTTTTTCATAAAGTAATTAATAATTAGGGAAAATTTGTCTTTAAGAAATTATTTTAAGGTGATGTTAGCCTTAAATGGGTTATGCGGAATTGAATTAGAACCTCAAAAGGTGTTAGTGTTACGTTTCAAACATGAAGGGATTTTGTGAAAACACGATAAACCTCAAGGGGTGTTAGTGTAAAAACCACTACACTAATCACTGAACTAATAATAATTAATGTAATAAACCTAATTTCCTTTAGTTTGCTCACGAACAGAATTTTCATCAAAAATTTGGAAAGAAATTCAAATGCCCCGTTCGGAGCTGTTACACAATCAAATTTAACCCATAATATATCAAAACGAAGCTTAGGACGAGAGGAATAAGATTATACCCATTTCACGGCCAAAAGATGGCCAAAGCTTGTCGGAAAATGCCCTGAAAGTGACGGCCCAAGTTGGAGTTCTTCGTTTTCGTTGATTTTGAAGTGGATTTGAGCATGCAAGCTCAAATCCATGGCCTAGGGGTTACGGGGAGTCATTTTACACCTTCAAACTTGACCAAATCAACAAGGTTTGGCTAGGCTTGGCATAGAAAATCCTACAACTTGCCAAAAAACATGGTGGGTTAGATATTCGTCCTTTAAACACGCAAAAACGTACATCCATGCCAGTAAAACACACCGGAAAACTCAAGGCAGAGCTTGAGGGTGGAAATCTTGAGCTTACCGTGGCCGGAGAAGTTTCAATTCGGCGAAATTCGTTGAACGCCGAAATAGGAAACCGTGTTTTTGTCTGAGTGTGGCACCACCAAGGAGTTGCAGAGGGTTCTAGATAATTTTTCGGAGAACTTTGAAGGTGTTGGTGGAGCTTTGGAGTGGTGATGGTGATGTTCACTTAAAGGGAAAGAGGGATGAGAGAGCTATGGGAGAGAAAGAGAGTTTGAGAGGTGCGGCAAACCTGCTGAGTGTGTAGAGATGTGAGTGAGTGACTGAAGTGAAAAGGGAGAGAGTGAGAGGTGTGACGTGAGAGATGGGAGAGGAACTAATTGGGTGAAATGATGAGTCTAGTGGACTTGATGGGTGGAGTGGGATTTTAAGAATGAGGTACCTCATCGAATTTTCAAATTACATCAATTCATTATACATCGTGTGATCAGAAATCATTGTAAATTTTTTTTATTTAAAATTGAATATAAACAATACCTGGTAAAAATTGAACGCACGATACACAATAAACAAATGTAATTGAAGGATCTAGCGAGAATCCTCTCTCAGATTTTAAAACCATTAAAACTATTGTTTTATGCCGCTTGCCTCTACTAATTTAATTGAATACGCACATGCAAGCATTCGCATTGCACGAGTGCTCATATTAGCAAACATCAACATCAAAAATAAAAATCCATTAAAACTATATTTAACTCCCACTTGCAATTCACTTCAATTTTCACCAGAAGCAAGAGCATGTCTTTCCGCCAGACACTCAATGAAATTCCAGCTAGGGTGCACGCTGCACGAGGGAAATTTCAAGTTTTGGATTTGCCTTAGGTATTTTTACACAGTTTCGAACATAACTTGTTTGTTATAACTTCGAATTGAGTTCCGTTTATGATCACGTGTTCATAAAAACTAGTATTATTTAGAAATAGTAAAATAATAGTGGAAAAATGAAGGGAAAATTGAGGTCTATGTGGAAGACCTACGTGGCATCACAGGGGCATTTTGATAATTTCACTACTACTGAGAATAAAATACAATAAATATCGGGACGTGATGTCACAACATAAATACAATGTCTTAAAAACAGAATTTCGTCCCTACTCTTGTGCTTGTAGTTCGGTAGGCAGTCGTTTCCTAGGAGTTACCAATCTATAATTCGAAGTCAAAACATTTCAATATTCAGACTCTCACGAACGTTGTATGTTCCATACTCTCAAGACACGACTCAAAATTTGACTAACAAAGAATAAAAGATATTGGAGAAAACTCTTCTCTCTTTTTCATTTAGACAGATGGGATGCTTAAGTTTATATAGAACTCAAGCCACTCCTTTTGAAACTAGGTAACTGTTGCCTAAAGTTCTAACGAATAGATGCAACTCATGCAATTAAATTTGAATTCAACTAAAACACTCAACTATTATTTTTCATTCACACATAAATAACATATTATAATATTATGAACATATAATTTCCAATAATAGAGCATTTCCAAAGGAGATTTCAAAGTTTAAATATATAATTTAGATTTGAAAGCCTATGTGGCACTTTGATTTTTTTATTTTTTTATTTTTTTTTTTAAGTTCTGTTCTCCACCTGAAATACTAAATTGAACGTTATTTATTATATTATTTACTTTTCATAATTACAATAAATATTTTTAGATAAAAAGTAATAATAAAAAACATTTATTAATCAATTCAAAATGAATTTGAAGTTATCTTTGTTGTCAATCTACATCATGTCACGTAAGAATTGATATTTCAGTTGGAAACACTAATATTGTCTTTTTAAACCATTTTTATTATGTGAATTTTTTGACATTCCCTTCGAAGATACTATTATAATTTTAAGGTACTTTCTTCAATTGACATCAGTTTTAGGTCACATGACTCACATTTGAAAGATTTCACAAAAACTAACATTTTTATGAATATAAAAGGTAAAATTGGGTACCACGGTCCATTGATATTCTTCTTCACCTGTAAGGGAGAGGTTTTAGGTTCAATTCTCACAAAAGGCGAATTCGAACCACATTATTACTAGTCCATTGTGAGGCTAAGTTTACTCCCTCTCTGTGACAGCCCGTTCCGAAAATTTTAAAACGTACGCGTGAAAAGACGATTTTGCCCCTAGTGTTATTTTTTTTCGTTGTGTGATTGTTTGAGTGGGTGTGGCTGGTTGTGGACCACACACACACTCCCATAATTTCCCTCACCCTTTTCCCCCTATCCCTGCACCCATCCCGTGCCCATTTCCCTTCCCATTTTCATACCCATGTGTACAGACACACTCCAAAACCACCCAAATCTTCACAGATCGAAGAAACAAAGTACATATCCATGCTCGTGAGGTTCATTGGAGTCCAACCATATCCATTTCAGGTAAGGATACCTTCGTTTTCATGTCGAACTCGGGATACCCGATTTTTGGTACTGTTCATGCACACGTAAATTCTTATGTTTTTTGGAATTTCAAGCTTGTAGGAAGCTTGGTGAGGTCCTTAGGAGGCTCGGGGTGGTTCGTTTGAAGGTTTTGGACGTCGGGATCACGAGTTTCGAGGTTGGCCGGAGTTGGGGGTATTTTCCCGATGAGATTTAGTGGATTTTAGCACTTGAAAGTGGTATAATTTTGTTCCTCTCGTTGTAAGCTTCAATTTGGTACCAATTTTGTGAAATTTGGTTGAAAAACGAAGAAGATAGGACGATTTGAATTTTTCCCAATTTTCCGGCGCTGGCGACGGCGCCAGAGCCTCGCCGGAGAAGACGACAGAATATTCCGTCAGTTTGGACGGAATATTCCTAAAGCCGTTGACGGAATCCGTTAAAGTTAACGGAATATCCCTGACGCCGTCAGCGTGCCAGGCACGTGCCTGCGCGTGGTCGGCGCGTGTGGCTGTGCCTTGGCCGGCGCGTGCGGCGGTGAAATTTTTTTCTAAAAATATAGGGATGTTCCTGAGGTTGAGTAGATCACGTTGGTGTATTCATACACCCCATTTGAGTATTGTTTGAGAAGTTATTTCTTAAGTTTGGTTATGTGCTTTAAAATTAACGTTTTTATAGTTGTTTTGCATATAGGTGAATCCTATCCCGAGGACGAGCGTGGTCACGTGGCAGGGGAGTTACGACCCTTCCACTTACCAGTGAGTGGGCTTTTGGTTTTCCGTATATACCTATATACTTATACTTTTCCCAGAAATTTATTTAGAACGTTTATTCGTTATATGCCATGCCTATAGTTTTGTCGTTGTTTATGCATTGTTAATTGTTTATATATATATATATATATATATATATATATATGTTTGGTGTTGCGGACGCACAGGTAAGTATCAGGTGAGTTGTGATTTATGTTTACTTTCAGTAGTGATTTGAGATGCATAGAGAGCTCATAACCTGCACCCCTGGTGTTAGTGCTCCCGCCCAGAGTTGGGCACAGTCCTTCACGTGATGTTCACCTCCCGCACCACACGCTCAGCTTGGATCCAAGTTAGGTGCACAGCCCTGTCGTACAGACCACTCTAGGTGGTTCCGACTCGTAGGTGACCCGCGATTATTCGCACAGCCTTCACGTGATCGTAGCACTTGAGCGTATATATATGTTACACCTAGGCCTGTCGTACAAACCACTTTAGGTGGTTCCGACTCGTGTGCAGGTTCAGTTAGTGAGATGGAGATTTGAGCTCTAGATTCAGCCGTACAGGTCATGTTAGGTGACTCCGGCTGACAGATTATATGATATTGATGCGATATTACCTGAGCACTTGCATTTTACTTTGAGGTTTTGGCATAGCATATTCTTGAGCATGATTTATATATATATATATATACACTCTATTTTCTGGGAAGTATACAGGTTTTACGGCGAGGGGTTAGAACTTATTTATTAAATGGTTTTCGAAAAGCTTTGTTTTTGCCCACTCACGCTTTTGGTTTGCGCCCCTGCAGGTTTTAGTTGGCTAGCACGTTCAGTGGCTTCCCTGAGGATTTCCCTGGCATATCTGACAGACCACCACCAGTGTAGGACCACCTTCGGGTGTACTTTGTTGCGTCGTTTTCTCCCGGACTGCATTAGGCTTTCATGCTCTGAACTTAGTGTCGCACTTACGCTTGCACTTGTTCGTTATTACTTTGTGTAAAGCTAGTTTTTATTTATTCATACTATTTTTATTATTATTTTATTAGCTTCCGCACTGTGCACATAGTTACGTCACTTCCACGTGACGGCCAGCATGCCCTGATCTTGATCAGGGTGTGTCACTTTCCACTTAATGTAGATAATATCGACTATTCAAAAAAAAAAAATATATATATATATATATATTGGCTTCACCCGCGAGTCCAAAATAATATCGATTATTAAAAAAATAAAATAAAATAAAATTGGCTTCACCCGTGAGGCTAGAAAAACCCCCCTCATTCTCCGTTGTGAAAGGCAAAGGGCACAATGTTTGTTTGCCACAGTGGCAGAGCCTTTTTTTTTCCTTTTTTTTTGTCAAAAGAGGATGAGTTCGGTTAAATAAAGTGGTTGCTGGGTTTGTTTTAAGGAACAAGGCTAGACAACCTATTAGAGCTGGTGCTTTCAATCTCAATGGGGCCACCATCTCGCTTGCGGAAGCCACTGCTTTAAAGGAGGGTCTTTCTTTTGCCAGGCGCGAAGGTGTGAGAAAGCTTGTGGTGGAGAGGGGTTCCAAGCTCATCATTCAGGTGGTGCAGGGGGAGTGGAACCCCCCTTGACATCTTATGATGATCATTACAGACATCAAGTGGCTAGCATCGAGATTCCAGTGCATTAGATGGCATCATATTTTTTGGGAGGCAAATTTTATCACAGACAAATTAGCTCATGTGGGCCTATCAGTGACGAATCCATATTTTTGGGATTATTGCCTTCCTGCTTCGACCTTGGATGCTTTTAGATTTGATTATTTGGGAATGGTTGTACAAGAGGTTTTTATGTTTAATGAAACCTTTTTTCCTATAAAAAAAATACAATAGATAATGTAATTTCATATCTAATTTGCCATTCACGAGATTCAAACCTAGGATCTGAGAATTACCCCCAAACCTACTGAGTAGCAGCTCCTCCTTTTTAATCGTTAGTCATTACCCATCCCATAATAATTAATTAATAATTTGACATAAAAAAGGAAAAATTACACTTAGAGTATACTTTCAATACTTAATTATATATTGAGACTACACTTTTTAAACATTTCAAGGAATGACATTTTTTAAATCCGCGTAAGATGACATCATGTCCTATTTTTTCATTAGAAACAGAGTTACGTATTTGCCCTTTCTTTTTCTGTTAAACATGATCGG